TACACTTCTCTTAATAAAATGAAAATCAGAAAAGATAAAAAACTTGGGCTTTTCATGTAAAATAATACTGTTTTAGAATAAAAAAGTTAGTACTTTATGCGTCCGTTGTTGTCTGGAAGCAACGAACCCCAAATTGGCCCCAAAAATATAAAAAATTTGTATTTTGAAATTTTATTATTATATTAATATGATAAGTGACTAAAATTCAAAAAATTACATTTTTAACACGACAAAAAAATAAAGTGGGTTAGGATAGGTCTAGTATGTTTGTTTCATTACAAGTGGCTCTTTGAAATGTTGGATTTACAACAAATTGGTTTAAAAAATATTTATCAAGACAATTTACAAACTTTTCAGCTTGAGAACCAACTGGTAATGCTTTGTTTAAAAACCAACCATAAACTTATTTTTTGGTTTATGCGGCAGAATGTTTTTAAATGAGAGATATTTGTTTTCAAAACTTATAAAAGACTCATCTAACAGATAATCGTAAGTATACTTAAAAAATTTTTTTACATTGTTTGAGTTAAGATAATTATAAACTTTTTCTTGTTGAAAATTTGATGATGTTATTATTCCGAATCCCATATCTATAATTTTTTATGTTTTTACTATCTATGTCGTTATTAAGTCGATTACGTTAATCTATTAATTGTTTAAAAAAGTGTCGTTGAGTTGGCGTTAAATCATAGTTTATATAAACATTTTTGAAGTAATTATTTTTTATTAAAGCTTTGCTGTTTAATTAGCGCAATGCCATCATCTTTGCTTTGAAGTTCAACTAATATCGGTCTAGGATTTTAATTGTGTTTTTTCTAAAACGATGTATTCTTGCAATTTTAAGGCTATCAGCGCCAATCTCCTCAAATACTTTTAAAACAGCCACTTTATCATCCAATTCTTTTTCCTTAATATCAAATTTGTTTGACTCCGTTATGCCAAATATAACAACATTTTTTTTATTACGTTTTATATCATTTTGCTCAACTGTCATTGCACTAATAACATTAACTGCAGGAACATTAGGTTTGCTTGCCATTTTGAAAAGACTACTAAAACCTTTTATTGGAATTTCTTTTGATATTGTAGAATTTTTTTCTAAAATCTCGACCTTTTTCTTTAATCATTGTTTTCAACTTCAACTGAACTCAATTTATCCTCCAAAATTTTATTCTTCTCTTGATGTTCTTTGATGACATCTTCTTGCAACTTTTCTACTTTTTTGACTCGTTTCATGATCTCAGCAAATTCAGTTTTTTGAACCATTTTTTTTAACCAAGTAAATACAAATAATAAATTTCAATTTTTTTTTAATAACTAAAAACAGGTTCATTAACAACGTAGCGTGCGTGCCTTATATTATATTTACCATATTAAATTAGTAACCCCCTTAAAGTGAGAAAGGTTCAAACTTTGTAAGATCTTAATTTATGAACGCTACAATATTTCATTATGGCATTTAAAGTTTATCAATGAATATAAACCTAGTTGAGAAAAGTACAAAAATATTTTACCAACTTGTTGCTCTAATGATTGGGGCAAGGAGCCAAAAAATTTGAGTCATTTTTGTTCTCAGGCTCCAATCATCGCAATATTTTTCAAAGCATCCTTATTTGTACATAAGTATTAACAAATATTTATATGAATAAGAGTGTTAAAGTTATAAGTGAAGTTTGAGTGAGTCTACTGAATGATTAAACTTGATTATAAGGAAAAAGGGGCTCAAAAAATGATGAAAAAGATTTTAGTGCTTATGTTTTATATAAGATTGTTGAACTAAAGTTTAATAGTCATGTAACATTTTTTACAACCTAATTTTTTTCATAAAGATTTAGGTTTTTAAATAAGAAAAAAAAAAAAAAAAAGCAAACAAAACCTAAAATTTGTTAAAAAACTGACATAATTTTAATCCCTCCCTTATAGTTGCTTATTTCATATTCTCTTAAAACATATATATTGATCAAAAACTATCTTGTGCAAAATAAATGCTCTTGTTTAATAATTTCTAATTAGGAAATGGACTTTCAAATTTTCATTAGTGCATTTATATTTATTTTAAGGTTGGTTTACTCTAAACGGTTTTTTTAGTTGTGAGATATGATTACCTTGTTGATAACAAGTAAATTAAAATAAACAGACTGGTTTTTTAACTTAATTTTATTAAATAAAAAAATTTAATTAGCAAACTCAATAAGCTCAGAATAAATAAAAAAGTTTCCGAAAAAACATGGAGTATTGTAATAAAAACCACCTTGGCCCTAAATGTTACAAAAATGTTTTTAGCAATTTGTAGCTATGAAAATAGCTGTTTTAAAAATTGAGATAATTATCAAATGTGAAATTTACATATTGTTGATTATGTACATACTTATTAATGTACATATTAATAAACACTCTTCTTTTTCAGTGAAGTTCGCAGTGACTTAGACTTGAGTTGCTGAACTTTAATTTTGTAAGCCTGTAGATTATCCTTGACATAGGAAAATGTCCTAGCTTTCGCATACAAATTCAAGATGTCTTCAAGAACATTTAAACAAACTTCTTTATTAACAAAAGTTTTATTTCTAATTCTTGAAAAATTAGATATAACATTTGTATCTTTAAAAAGTAACTATAGAATATCTTTGCTGTCAATTTTATTGATAGACTTACTAAATTTTTTTTAAGGTTGTTTCAGCAGTAATAAAAATACAAATTGCCTCAATTTTCATTTTCCACAAGCTTGATATGTTACGCGTGTTTACAAATTTGTGCTCAGGTAAATCGTCGCTTCCTTGATATTTAGCAGCAAGCAAAATAGATATATACTTTTGATAGTATTTTTCCTTATAAATATCTGAAAATCTGATGCAACGATATAATGTGCTAAGAACATACCCACATAAATAGGCAATAACAGATCGGTCCCTACTTAAAAGAACAAAATTCCTTCCCAGATAAAATTGTATCGTACAATATATGGTTACACACTTCAAATCCAAGTAATGTGGAACACTGTGTATTTAATCCTATAAAAATTGAATCAATTTTGTCAAAGATACATTTGTAAAAATATGGATAAATTTTTTTTGGCATTTCCTTTAAATAAAGATAAAATCGGTTTTATAATCTGGTATGCTGTGTTAGTTATATCAAAATTAATCACATAAGCTTCAAAATGATTTTGTATGGACTCAAAATAATTATTTGATGAAAACTTTGCAACACTTCTTTCTAAATATATATGAAAGTCTTACAGATTAAGAATTTTTTTTAATATTTTAGTTTCTCTAATATCTTTTGAAATGTTAAAATGTTAAAACATCGGAATGTTTACTTTTTAAGTGACGAGTGAGACCTCTAGAGCTTAAACAATTTTTGTTACAAAATTGACAGAAAAGTTTTATTCAAAAAATATCTGAAGCATGTTGTTTTTCAGCAACGTCATTTAACAAATCCTGGTCAATAGCTTCAAAAATAGAAACAAGCTCGTCTTGATGCAACTCAAAAATAGTCTCAAAATTATTCAAATCCTTTGAACTTTCAGCCATCATAAAAGTTTGTTTTGCACCTTATTTGCAAAGACCAACCGATTTTTAACTTAAACAATGAAAACTAATAAACGGAGTAAGTTTCCAGCGGCCAATGCTATAAACAATTCGAAGATTTTATCGGGAAAAAAAATCTTTCGTAAAAACGTAATTTTTAAAATAAATTATTTCACGTAAAAAATGCGTAAACACGAAATTTTTCTCGCTCTTTGATTTTTTTTACAATTGCTATAAAACTTAAGGAAATAATATGTCACTCACAACTGCGATTTTTTTCATAACTGTTATGCGAATTTTATTAATTATATGCCAAGACCTTTTATTACATTTTAGTATTCAGTTTTAAAAAAAACTATATCTAAAATTACAATTTTTAAATGGATTTGATTTTTTCTGATGAAGAAGTGGAGTTAGAAGTTGCGCAAAACGAGCTTTACCAATGACTGCCTCGAGAGGTTTGCGTTTAAAACATTATTATTTATATTTTCATATTTAGTTGATCGAAAGAGACTCTCTAACCTATATCACTTTTCAAAAGAGGTATAGGTTTTTTGATCAAGCAACTAAGCACATCTAGATAGCTTACAACACGTAAACTTTTCTTTAAAAGATTGCTTTGTTTACATGTAATTTTATAGTAGTTTTCTTTTTATTTAATACTTTAGTTTAATGACCGCTTCTTTAACGAATATATTTCTAACAATATTTTTGAGATCAGTATCCAGTCCCAAGACCTGTGTTAGATTTTTTAGAAATAAAACATTAAAATGATTTGCAGCATTATTCAAGGCGTAACCAAAACATTTCAGTATGTCACTAAGTAATGATGTTTCTTCACAAATATTGGCACATAAATTTTTTTTATGTTTTCAGAGACTGCCAATTTCTACCAACACAATTTATCGTATTACTCAAAGCATCAAAGAAGCCATTTTTAACGTTAGCATATTGTACAGTCATGGCCACAAATATAAGAACGATGATAAATTTTCTATTGTTTTATGATTCATGAAACATTGTTTCAGCAATCGTGAATGTTTGGACTCAAGAAACAACGCTGAAATATTGCCAAAAATTCGTTGATTCAATGCCTGAGAGGATAAGAGCTGCGATAGTCAAAAAGCAACCCACCATATATTGACTTTTGAGACGATCACGCCTTTAAGATACTTTTTTACTAATAATTTAACCATATTTTATAATTAAAGCACACACTAATTGTTATTGGTGTTAACTGCTTGTTATATTCAGGTTCTAAAAGCCATACTATAAAAAATTGCAGCGTTCTCATATTTATGGCCATGACTGTATTAATTAAACTTGTTACAATTTAACGTTTTAATACAATATTTCTGGATCATTAAATTTTTAAGTAAATTAAAAAATTTAACAGCTGTTATCTTATAAAATTAGATTCGACAAGAGATCAAGTAATTGCTCAATAAATGCGCTACTCTTCCACAAAAATTTATGGAAATTAGATGTTTTCCTTGCCAATGCGGTGTTCTGGATAGCTCTCATATAATCTTATCTAACCCTCCCAACAATCATGAAGATTCTCTAATTAGTCGCCACCATGTTCAAAGCATAAATGCAATGACAGTATGTGGACCCGACACATACATTTATTATGCTTCAACTAACAGTCCATGAAAATGGCATGATGCACATGAAAGTCTCCTAAAAAAGTTATTTTTGCAATTATTGGTACACTAAGGCTTTTCATAATGTAATTATGATTTTAATTGCGAATGACATGTTTAGGTTATAAGAAATTCTAATCTTTGGAACAATTTCAAAAAAGGAGAGCTTCCTTTTAATGGTGCTGTATTTTTTGCGGACTCAGCTTACTCATGTCAAGAATGGTTAATTCTACCTTTTCCTGGTGATCCAGACGGTGCACAAAAACGTTTCAACATAGCGCATAGGAAAATCAGAAACATATTTGATCGTTGTTTTAGCATTGTCAAAAACAGGTTTTATGCATTGAAAATAAGAATTCTCGTGGATAAGGTTGAAGATACCTATAAGCTCATTATGTGTGGATTTGTGATTCGTAATCTGTGTCTTCGACATGGAGACAACGCTAATGATTTTGAAAACGGCGAAGAAGAACATGTTATGAAAATCTAAGTCAAGCAGATCAAAGTAATAGACAAAATCAACTACTTAATAACTTCACTTAAAATAAATAAACAAAGCAACTTTTAATAAAATTTCATATATTTTCTTTTTTGTTTACAAGCATGAGGTCTAAAAGTATATTTTAGATATGGATCAAGGATTTGTGTTTAAAATATTTAGAATATTAATACTTACGAATATTATGATTGGTAACGAATATTATTAAAAAAAAGGAATAGTAATGATAATTAAACAAAAATGAATAATTTTCTATTAACCCCTAGAAATTTTTATAGAACTTTAGACCGTTACAGTTAAATGTGTAAACTCTGTTGGAATGTTATTTAAGTTACCCAATTTTTATTTATTTATTAAAGTAAGTAACTAATTAGGAAGTCTGATTAGGTGCGAATTTCATAAATGCAAATCTATATAAGAACAAATTAATTTTATGAAAAAATAAAGTATACACAATTACTGATACTTTGAACACTTCCAGCAAAATGTACGTATATAGATCTATTGTTGGGTTTCGGGAAGGAAAACTGTTTTTTTTTTTTTGTTTTATTTATTTATTATAAAAGAGTTGAAACCGTTAGGCGCAGGTACGCAATTTTGCACTTACACTAGCTTTTTTAACCGCTTTGCATTTGTGAAGGTTTTCACTTATGCACATTAGCACTTCTGCCAATTGCTAACAATAACTTCCTGAAAATTCTTTTTTAATGGTATAACAAAATGCTTTTTTAGGATTACATTAAAAGTTGCCCTGTGGTGCCCGTGCAGGCCATGGGTATTGTTAATAAAATAAATACTATTAAATAAAGATTCTATTTATTGTCTTGTTTTTGTAAGAAAATGCTACACAGAGTTAACTGGTTACAACACAAAGAGTTCACTGGTTACAAATATCTTTTTTTTAAAATTTAAAATAATAAAACTTATCAAAAAGTTATATTCACTCCTAGTATGATTTCTTCCTTCTCGTTTACTGCCTAAGGATTGCTTCCTAAAACAAAAATAATATAATACACTATTTTAAACTTTAATCTAGACTATTATTTAAATTTAGTTTTAAAATGTATTTAAGTTACCATGTCTGTATTTAAAAAGTGTTGCTGGCTAGAAAGTGGCAATTTATCATTCATAAGCTATGTTACAGTGGTATAATATTTGGTAAACGCTTTCTCTTTTCGTATTTGTTGTTTTCTGAGAGCAACGTCTAATTTCAAAAGCTGAAATTTTAAAAACTGTTTTTTTTGTAATTTCTCTTTTTCCAATCCCAAAACACTTATTTTCAATTTTTTAAAATTTCCATCTACAAAGAGACTTTCTCGAGATTGTTTTCTTTACAGACTTTTTTTTCTTAGGTGAATCTTTTATTTTTTTAGGTGAATCTGTGAAATTTAATTTTAAAATTTAAATTTAACAGGTAAATAAAAATCTAGTTACAAACAAAATTCAATTTAATTACTGTAAAATACTATTAATTTAATATTATTTAAGTAAATACTAAAATTTCCAAATCAAAAAAAATATATAACCTAGAAGTAATGATTCAGGAAAAGTGTCTAAAAGAGGGGGTACCTGTATTGTCAAACCTTGGACCTAATGCAAGTATTTTTATAAGTGGTAAGTATGCAAGGTATGCAAGTAAATTTGTAGGTAGAATTTGTTTTATACATTTTACCAACAACTAGTAAAAACTTTAAAACTTTTATTATACATTAAAACTTATATTTTATAAAACAACTTGACTCAAATAATTAAAATATACCAGATATAGATGAATCAAAAAAAGATGCAGTTAAAGACTGTTCAGAGACAATTGACCTAATTTCTTTACTTGATGTTGAAGTTTGACTTTGAGTGAGTGGAATTATCTCATCATTTGAACCAAACGAGATATTATTATCAGGGACATCAATTCCTGACACACTTGTTGATTTTTTTATCAACTATGTCTAAAAAAACGTTATCCAATTCGGTTAATTGGATTCCCTCAGCACCTTAAATGTAATGTTAGATTTAGTAAAAAAAAAACTTTACTTATTAAAGAACCCATAAAAACATAAACACATGTACACATACACACATACTTTCAAACTACCTGTTTTTAGACTTTTAGAAAATTTGGCAATTGTAGCTCTTCGCAAATAATCCCATTCTCAACTACAAAGATAATTAATGCCTTTATTTTTTGCCATTTGACTGTTTAAACTTGATCTTATATCTTCCTAAACTTTGTTTCTATGTTTCATGGTAATAGATTGACCTAAAATGTTAAAAAAAAATTCATTAAATCATTAATATTTAAAAAACATTTGTGTATATAAAAATATACTACTACTGTTTAAGTAGAATACAAATTTCTTGTGGAAAATAATGTTTAGAATAGCTATGTTTGGGTATGTTAAGTTTTATTACCTATTGATTGTGTCTTTTACACGTAAAATATCGCAATGCAAAACGTCTATAATAATTTTATATATCTTTGTGGGTTGTATAAACTTCATAGCAACAATACTTTAAAATAAACAAAGACACTGTAAATTTAAAGAGCTAGCGTTGTTACAAAAATGGCCAAAAAACTTCGAGAAAAACATCTAAAATTGAGATAGATAGGTTTACCTAAATTTTTTTTTATCTAAAAAAGTGATTTCCTTGTTCGTTTATAGCACTAGCCTATTTAGCATAGTTTTATTCGTAAAAAATATTATTTTTATGTTTATAGCAATAGAATTTTTATTTCTTCGCTTTTTACGCAAAAAACTACAAGTTTTATGGAAAATATTCTTTTTTTTGTTTATAGCATTGACCCTAGACTATACTTTTTTTGACTATGCACTGATTTAGGAATCAGGATATTTAAGAAAATAAGTAATCTTTTAGGAAGAGGAAAAGCAAAAATGCTTGTACAAATTTAGTTTATGATTAAGATGAACATTTGCTGATGACTAAGTTGTTAGATAATAATGTTTAAAACCAAAGTTTTAAACCAAAGTTAAATAAAAGTTGTTCGATAACTTTGTTTTAAACCTTCAAATTTGAATATTTCTACTCCAAATAAAATAAAATCTCATTTACGATTCACTAAACTTCTTGTTTTTATAACAATTAGAGCAGCATCAAATGTTGAGTGTGAATCACACACTCAACATTTGTTAATAAAAATATTATAAATACAAAAACCCATTAAGTTCGGTTTTTGGGTGCCAACCCTGACGCTAATCGTTATAATGTAAAAAAATTTGAAAATTTCAGCGAAGTAGTTTACGTTCGATCTACTAGTAAGGCAATCTGGTCTTCAGAACTTTCTACTAGTAAGGCAATCTGGTTTTTTGCACAGTTTTTTGGAGTCATAATTCTAGAAAATTACGAATTCTTAATAAATACAACTGTTGCACAGTTTTTTAAATCAAAAAGGCGCAAAACATGCGTAATAAAAATAATCTGACATGCATAAGTACATAAAGCAAATTAGAATCTCGGTATATAAATTGTCTGTGTAAGTGAATTCTTCTTTTTTTTGTGGATAATTTAAGCAATAGAATGGAGTAGGTAGTTGAAGTATTTAATTTATCTTTGTAATAAAAGTTTTAGAATATTAACTCAATTAAGGTTTCATTTGCAGCAACATAAAGGTAACGAGTAATTTTGTATACCCATTGAGTATACTAATATATCATTGTCAAGTAGTGAAAGTTCTTTTGTTGTATTATTTAATTTTGTTCGCTATTTGAATTCGTATCACCTAAAGAATACTGACGTCTATCGTAAAACAATTTTATTTGCAGACAAAACCCAAGTAGAAAGTTTCTATATAGACAGCTCGGAACCTTGTACAAATCATCTACAAATCATCATTCGATCTGTAAAATCTTTAGATTGATTAATGGATGTTAAAGATCAAGAAGCATTACTTCTAACTCAACTTCGTGCTATTAGCAGGTATACCTTATGGTATCATTTCTACAGTTATTCAGTCATTTAACAATATGGCAAGATAGTAATCATATTATTTTAAAACAGAACTTATTACCAGTTTGTTATTATATGGTGTTAATTAAAAAAAAAAAGACAATACAGAAATCATCTTGATTTTTTGATTTTTTCTTTAATGATCCAATTTATGTGTAACAAATCCACTGAGAAGTCAGGGTTTTGTGCATGAAATTGGGGTTTTTTGTTACACTATTAAAAATTTTACACTACCATTTAATTTTTATTTTGGTAATGTTCTTGTGATAGCAATGGGCTATACCGATTTATTAGCGATTTAAGGATTCGGACCTATTTTAGAAAAAACTTTTAGCTGAAATAAAGGAGTGAAGGACTCTTGGGTTGAATTATATATTTCTAGTTTTAGGAAATCATAGAATTTATGCAAGTCTTTGCCATGTTACTCTTGATAATATAGCTCTTAATGGTTTATTTGGGTTTTTTGAATTTTTTTCTGCGAGGCATTTTTGTACAATTTGCTACGCAACTGAAGACAATATCAAACAAAATTTGAAAAAGATCTGTTTCATAAGCATAATGTTGATAACTAAAATATAGATCTTGTTAATTTAACTATAGATAAGCTGAGCAATCAAAACACTTTAACTAAATTAAAAACCCATTTTAGAAGTGTGAAGAGTGAATGTCCACTCAATAAAATAAAAAGTTACCATGATACTGAAAACTGGTGTTAGGATATTATGCATACCTTATTAGAATGTTATGCACTTGTTGAGTTAGGGTGTATGGTTTTTATGTATTAGACAAATGTCTGACCTTCTCTGATATAAAGAAAGCTTATTTGGGTTTATTTGGGCTAAAATAACAGTTAAAAAGACTCATAAATCTGTACAAATTAGAAAAGTATATAAACCAGATCATACACTTGAACCCTCCATGAAAGCAATACAATGCTGGGCTTTGCTTAAGTATTGCCAATAGCTGCAGGAAAAACTATCACTTTAAAAATAAACATTGGAAATTTCTGCCTCATTTATCTTATTTAA